CTGTAATTGTCCAGCACCCCATGAGAATTAACAGTAGGAGATAAAGACTAGGCAAGCAGACAAAAAGTCCAACATGTTAAAATACAGATTTCCTGATTTTGAGGGGCTCCTCTCCTGAGGCTTGGCTTCTGGCCATCGAAGTGCAGCATTCCTGTCGGATCAGGGAACTCAAGGAGGGGTCATGCTGTCCAATATATGGGGCAGATCAACAGCATCCCTCAGCATTCATATGAGGATGGCCATTGTCTTCAAGTTGGCCCCTGTCACATGTTGTAGACTTTGGCTCTAGAAATTGTTCACGGGAGGAATGTCAGAAGGCAGAGCACCTAAGTTCAAATTGAGTCAAATCTTTGAGTTTTACTTAGTTTAAAATCTACATGAGGACAAAAAGCATGGAGATAGCACCTCCACAATAACAACACAATAACAACAACAAAAAACACAACTTCCAACAAACAAACCAAAAGACCCCTATGGGTTTCTGTACATAGGAGATAATTTTGAGATTTTCCAGTATTCTGCCACTCTAAACATCTGATTTATTATTTCCTTAACATCTCAAAACACAGGCACAGAAGTCTGAGAAATTTACAACTGCAAACAGAGTTTGAGTGGAAATCGTTATGCATCTCCAAAGTCTGCAATCATTACAGCTTCTTTTAGTATCCTGACTTTTTTTTCTTCATTAAAACTAGCCCTGGGAAAAAAAAAATAGATTAAACTAATGAGAAGTCAAATCAAGGCAATGTACATATTTTCACTGAAAAAGCACCTGCTGCAGGGTGTCTTGTCACAAGGTGAGCATTGATGCACCCTTGCACTCAGATGTGGCTCCTATCATGGCCCCAGCAAGGATCAGCACTGAGGCAGGGAAAAAGTAGGCCTGATGTAGCTTTCAAATTGATGCTGCTTGTGGAGAGGAACAAACAGCTCGTCTCCAACTGAGGGGCTGACTCTCGTCATTTATTCATGGCCAGCCCCCTGCCTGGATGGAAATAAAAATGTTTCAAAGCTGACTGTGTGGGGGAGCTGGAGGACAGCTTGGAGGCACACTGAGGTTAGCACATTAATTTTTTATCTCTGGAGACTGGGTATCCAATTATGCTTAGAGTACACAAACAACTTTGGCTGGTCTCTCCAGTAGAGATTTATCCACATCATAAAATCGGCGATGCAACTGGGCACAACAGCCTGATGCCACGGAACAACATAAACAGGTGGTTTTATAGGTCAGATGTGGCAAGCTCGCAGAGTGACAGGAGCTCACAGACCTGCATGCTCATTAGCTAAGCCTACTGCAGGTATGGCCCAACTTGCACACCACAGCTAGGCCAGCAACAGCCAGCACAATGTGCTTTATTTAGGAATCGTCATTGGCCAAAGTGCTTGTGGGCATAAGTTCAGTTGCTGTTTACGACACAGCTGCCATTAACCAACGTTTCACACAGCAAAATACCACTGAAAATTCTCCTCCTTTAATGGGGAGGAAGTTTTTCTCCATGTAGACAGACTATCCTATTCTCCTGGGAATTAAGGAAGCGCATTTATACTCATGCACTCATTCACACACACATTTCAATAGATAGAAGTCTAATGTAATTCCTATATCAGAAGTGTCTCCAAATTTGAGCGCCAGCTGCCCCCAGAGCTGGCCTGTACCCATAGAGTGAGATGGAATAAAACAGCAGGTGTTTTGTGGCAGTCTTGGATGCACCCTGGGCTCACAAATCTCACGCTGTCAGTGCCAACATGTGGAGGAAAAGGCAGCAGAAAAAAATAAAAAAAGGCTGAGAATGGTGTAGGATCCTTCCTTTTCATTGGCAGACTTGAGGAAAGGGGAGTTGCCTTTTTAAAGGTTTTCTATAATCTCCTTTTCACAAGTCTATACTCATGCCAAAAATCAGAACGTATGTCAGCAATAAATGGGTGTGTAGGCAGAGGCAAGACTAGGCACCGAGGAAGGGCTGTTTATCTGTGTCAAAGAGCTAGATAAGACATCCAAACAAAGCAACTAGAGCTCAAACAAAGCCCAGGCTGAGGTGTTTTAGGAAAGGCAAAGGGCAGAGAAGACTGTCAAACTATCTTCCCTGATGCAAAAGATAATCTATAGGAAGAAGGACAGAAGGAGAGCTGTAAATAAACAAACCATCTACACCTGCCAAGGACAGTGAGACGTGCCAGGGAGATGAGACCTGGGGCTTGGGCCAATCCCCTTCTTTGATACACATCTATTCAGCGGCTCTCAGTTTCAGATAGATCCCTCCTATCTAACTCTCTTTTCCAGGATAAAAAATTCCTGGATAATTTACTGAACTGCCTGAACTAGTCTGTGCATGAGGAGAAGAGCAGAGGTAAAGGGGTCTGGGTGTGCAGCAAGACACAGAGCCATCAGCTCCTTAGCTGGCACCAGCCAGGGCATCTGTAGCTGTACCCAGTAGGAGCCATGCTCCAGAAAGCTCGCTCCTGCATCAGCAAGGCTGACATTGCTGCGGGTACCGCAAGGAGCAGAGACTGCAGAGCAGACGTAGGTACAAAGGAAGGAAGTTCACACTGCAACTGCCCGCCTGAACTTCACTGACCCAGTGCTCACCTCCCACAGCATGAAAAATTCCAAGCGGCTCGTTTGAATTTGCCTTGCTTTTGCTAAATCAGGCTGCTCATATCTCTCTGACACACTGCTAAGCAAATAACCAGACCCTGCTCTATACCATATCTCTGGTCCTCCTGTGCAGTAGGTTGCGGATTAGCTGTTTGGATTAACATCCCCCCTCCTCCCTCCCTTTCCCCCCAAGCCCATGCAGAGAGGATTCTTGAAGCCCGAGCCCTGCGACACTGCAGACCTGTCAAATCTAATTCATAACACATGCCTAGCAGTTCTTAGGGGAAAGGAAAGATCTGATGCTCTGGCTCCCCACCATCCCCCTGTACAAAGGGACCATTTAATGACTGCACATTAGCAATGTGGACAATTAGCATTCACATGGAAGATAAATGGCAGCATAAATTAAATATCGCCAAGTGAAAGAGCAAAGATGCAAGATCTGAGCTCAAGGCTGTAAACAAATAAACAGGCAAAAAGGAACAAACAGCCACTGCGACAGCTAAGCCATTTGGGAGAGTTACCTTCCGGCGTCTGGGACTTTCCCCAGGGGTGATCTTCACATTCGCATGGCTGTTGCCTGTACCTCACTGGCTCCTGGCTGGTTATTAAGCAGATTCTTTCCACTCAGGAGGCTAGATGTCAGAGGGTTTTACCCCACTGCTTTTATACTTCTGCCTATTTGGGGATCAGCATCAGCAGCTTCCCTCTATCACACGCATTACATGGGAGCTCTGGGGGAACACAAGCCGAGCAGCTCCCATTCTACCCCTTCCCATAGTACGTAACAAACCTTTCTTTCCACGGGCCAAGTCCTGCTGCTGCTAATCTCTCCACAGCTCTTCTAGCTCCTCTTCTTGCTAACTTCTATCAATTCCTAAGCACCAGAAACATGAGGGCTGAGACTGCCCTTGGCCTCTGTGACAAGCTGAAGGGTAATGGATGCTACCTTTCTTTGTCAGGGCCCCTGTGCAAGGCCGTTATGAATAGTAACTCAATACAGACTGGCAACACACCTCTCAGAAACGCAACTATTACTAAATACTGCAGGCACCAAAATAATAATGATGACGATGATAAACAACAATGGCAAAAATCAGAGGTAATATAAATGCTAAGTAAACAAGAGCTACTGGCTGAACACTGACAGTCTCCAGTCTGCCCAAGCAGTCACTCTTAGTGCATTGACAGCTCAAGTTTATCAACAGCTGGAGGAGTCAAAATTACCTTTGCTGTGAACCTACCAAACACATGAATAACTGAAAGGTAGAGCATAAAAGTGACAGAAACACAGAGACTGCCAAATGGGATCACACTAAGTGGCCCTTCAAGCTCAGACAGTGGCTAGAAGCAGATGCTTTGGAGGAAGGAAGCCCTCCCCCCCTCCATCCCTGGGGACAATTATCAATTATCCTCCTCAGAAACAAAATGTTTTCCTACTTCCATATTTCTTCCAGTTCTTCTTAATATATTCTAAATGTTTGTCTGGGTATTTTTCCCCATAAACATTTTATTGCTTTGTCTGCATTGTTCCTTACTTTGAACTAAAATGACAGTTCACACAGTGATCTGAAAGGACTTTTCATAAGTGAACAAAGGTATCAACACAAATCCCATGGTAAAAGCGACTATCACATAGTATTGCACACTGGAAAACTGAGAAACAGGGGCTTAGAGACTTGTCAGTCTCACAAAAATCAGTAATAAAGCACAGTCTCCTTGACCCTTCATTCTGTGCCTAAGAAGCAGGGGAAGGACAGTCAAACATGGCCATCTGGGCTATACCTTTTCTTTCAGCCCTGCATTGGTGTGGAGAATCTAGGCATGTAACTGATGTCATGCTCCAGCATTCCTCCTTGCAGATGAGAACTGATACCTTTTCATAGATTTTTTCAAAACTGTAACTAAGAAGTGCATTTTGGTAAAGATGAGTGTAAGCCTTCTGAGGAGGAGATGCACGGATAAGGCAGACAGATGCTGTAAATTTCATAGCTAAAAATCTGAGGCATGGATAAAGGTGTCTTATTCAAAGGCAAAACAAAGACAGCCCCCTGAAACAGAATGTGTATTTCCTTGACATCCCTGCTAACAGCCACTGGGAGGCTGCTTGACGATGGGTGGGTTGGGCATCTCTTCCTTTCCCCCCCTCTCCCTGCCACCTCCTCCCCACAGGAGCTGTAATGGAAAAGTGACTTGCTGCAGAGATAATGCTGGGTTTGAAATGAATTCCTGACTAGCTGAGCCAGCACTGGTGTGAGCAGTGGCTGATTAGCTCCAAGCATCCAGGTACCAATCACTCACAATGGAGCCAGGCAATCACGCCAGCTTCCGCAAGGCAAAGAGCAGGTGGAGGCAACATCCCTGAAAAGGATCTCAAAGGCAAAGAGAAAATACTACTCACGTTTGTGGTTTTCATTTCTGTGGACAGGGGAAGAGCGGGTCTCCTGCTCGCGGGCTTCATCACCCTCTTCGCTGGCAAGGTGAGTGTGGGCATAGTGGTAGCTCAGCCCGGGCCTGTTCTTGTAACGCTTGCCACATACTGGGAGGAAAGGAAATACGAGGGAGGGGAAGAGAGAATGGAAACATCAGAACAACCTGCAACAATGACAGCATCCTTTAAAATAGCACTCCCTTCTCCCCTGGCAGTAGCACCACAAACTCCATATTCCTGCTTGAAATGCTACCGATGGGTGTCAGTGAAAGGTGACAGATGCCAGCCCTGCAGCCCCACGGCCCCAGACAAGCGCTCTTCCCACCATGCTGCCAGCAGCCCTTCCTACTGGCCTAGACAAATGCACATCCAGTCTCCGCAGCTCATACCACCCTAATCCTCTCTGCTGAGATTACTAACAAGATTGCCCATAAAATTAAATGAAATGCCAGTTCTGATGTTGGTGCTGCACAATGCACAGCAAGGGGAACTGGACCAAGAAGAAAGGGCATTATTTTCTTGATTACTGATCTCTCAGAAAAGGAAACAAAATTACTTCTTTTTTCTTTTTTTTGAAAAAGAAAATAAAGTCTTTCTTTAAAAGGGCAATAAATTGCTTTATTCACAGATTGCCAGTCAAGACAAGGAGATGGAAATCATCCATAGTTTCTTCCTAGAAGAACATTTAACAAACTTCACATTCAGCAATCGCAATAAATAATACAAAGTGTGACATGGAATCCTCCTTCTGAACATTTGTTTGCTTTAGGACTAAGCCAACAGGCATTAAGAACAGGATCAAACAATTCAGGCTGATAAAAGGGCTACAAAACATAGAAGCTCAACACAAGGGCAAATTTCATCATAACATTCATTACATACAAATTCAGCTTCTATAAAGATTTTAATTCATGGTATTGTTTCTAAAAGTTCTCTCTTTTCATCTTCAAAGCAGTCTCTGAATCAATTATGGCCATTCTAAAAGATTAGGAAACAAAAGCTGAGAAGCTTAGTGCCCTTCCTGCAGATTTTTTCTCCCAGCCACACTTTCAGTTGCTGTACTGGCTTCACTGACCTCCAGGATATCACACAGAAATAAGTGGTACTATGTCCCACGTGGCTTGCTTAGGAAGGTGTGTCAGAAGATAGAGCAGAACCCAGCAGCCTCTAGTTCTGTCTTGATGTTAGATCTCTTGAAAAGATCACCGGGGGGGAAGTAACCATCCAGTCCTAAAAACTTCACTCAACTGTGATACCTAAAACGTATCTTGCAATATATATAGATTCCATTCCCCAGACACCTGAGTCTGGGAATGTCATTAAGCTCTATAAACAAAAAATCTTAAAAAGACCCACTGCAATTATTCATTTCCAGCTAAGTTAAACTTCCATTATTTCACTTTTCTGCTATTGCTCACAAAAAGCTAACTGGTGGTCCACGTTGTGGAACAGAAGAGAGAAAATTGTAAATCAAAGCCTAGTATGGTAACAGATTTCATTCTCTGTCTCTCCTAACTGATTTGTAAACTCCCTCAAGGAAAATACTTTGCCTTATTATAAACGTGTAAAACAACCTCATGATATGAATAAAATGTCTGATCTGGAAGATTAGATACTTTTATCCCAGTTTTCTCCATTCTGCAAGATGATGATCATACAGTTACTGTAACAGAGCAGATTTTTTTTTTTTTCCAAATGTAATGTGTCCTTAGCACAGAGTCTTAAGTCTTTAAATTCCCTTGATTTAGAAGTGAAAATTCCTGCAGGAGACAGGGGAGAAGTAGGAAGGATTAAAACACGCAGATGTATACGCTCACCCATTCTTTGAAGCATCTGCCTTTGTTACCTATGTAAACCTAACTGTGCTGCCTGATATTTTGAAGACCTGTTCTTGGATGCACACTCTCCTCAGAAGTTCAGTTTGGTCTCCCTTCTTCTGGTACCAACCATGTATTCTTCACTGTATTCTGGACTGGGAAACTACCTACTGCTCATCTGTGGTCTTACAAAGCACAGGACAAGCCATGGAACAGACATTGACAAGGACCAAAAAAAAAAAAAAAATATATATATATATTCACAGTTAAGTACAACTTTTGAATACTGGAAAAAGTGTAACTCAGAAGTAATCATCAAACTAGAGACAACTACACAATGTTCACTGTTAAAATGATTTTGGAAGGATAAGTCCCTCTAATTAAGCAAACGTAATGTCATTTTTTTAGAATGGTGAGAGAGATTAACATTTTAACATTCCTAGCAGATGATTGGAGCATCACACTAAGTGTCCGTAGCCTATCCACCTTACTGTGTTTTTGAAAATGGAAGTTAAAAAATTTTACTTTTGCTAAGAATTACTGATATTCTCCAAAACTTCTATCTGGTTAATTTATTTTCAGAGCACTATCAGATGATCAGTGCTGTACTGACAGTGGAGGAGGCACCTGGAGTTTGCAGCTACACAATATATACTATCTGACTCTATCTTGCTCTTATACAGCTTGATCCTGCATTACTGCTAATGTAGGTGCAAAATCAGATAAGCTCTAAATCCCAGTCCCATTTACTTCTTGTTTTGTCTGTTTTAAATTTCAAAACAAATTATGTCTAAAAATTCTAACACAGCTACATTTCATTTAGGTCTACCTGAAAACAAATACACAATTCTAGCTCTATAGGTGCTACCTTGTAAAAGCACAGCATCCTTGAATAAAGGTCTCATACAGCTTTCTCCCTCAATGTACAAAAGGAAACTTGCATTCCCTGCAGAAATACCCAAGGTTGTGGCCTTGTCTCCACTCCCTACAGGATCCTGCAGGGATTTTAGCTGCAGAGTTTGGGATGGCATAGGAAATCAGGTGGGTTTGCAGACTTTTTGGGATGGCATAGGAAATCAGGTGGGTTTGCAGACTTTTCCTTCTCCAGAAAAAAAAAAAAAATCCAATAGAAACAAACAAACAAACAAACACACAAACACACAAACGAACAAAAAAAAACCAGCAAGTATCAATATAAGCTAAGGCAGTAGTAATTCTGCAGCTGGGCACTTTCCACTGGCAAAACTCTTTGAGATTGCTTTCAAGGGTGGCAGCAAGCTGAGACATTCCTAGCTACAAATGAATTTAGAGGACTTCATACCCAGAGCTGAGGCAAAGAAGTTATGTTTACAGAGTTCTAGCAGATCCTTTGTAGGACCAAAGATTTGTAGCTTCCAGCAGCCTTTTTTCTGGGTGTCCAGACATTTCCTCCATTCAATGTTCTGACATGGAAAAAAGTCTAAAGCAAAACCATGAGTTGAACTGCTGGGATTTCCTATTCCCCAAGCAGATCAGACTTTTATAGGGGAAAAAGGGTATCATGATATTACTCAGGCAAAAGAACCACTGGCTTCAGTGACAATTTCCTAGGATAAAAGCTAAGTCAGAACTTCATGGTTTCTCCAACAGACTGGAATCTTCCCAAATTCACCCTAACTTCTTATTTTCCAGATAGAGCACATTTTATTAATCTACCATATCACTGTGCTAAGAAGGAGTTTCTATAAAAGGGTGATCATTAATAAATGCTTAGCTCTTATATAACTCTTCCTACTGCAAGACTGGCTTTTCAAACATAATTAATCTTCCTCCACATTCCTGAGTGGGAAATACTACCTTCATTTCACTTCTGAAAAAAGAGAACCACAAAGGGGTTAAGTGGCTTGCCCACACAGTGATCTTTCATCATTACCAGGATTAGAATTCATGAGTTCCAGTACCAGACCAGTGCTCACACCACATCTTTCTCATTCTCGGAGCTGACAAAAGCATAATGGGAACTGGTTCCCCCAGTCAGAAATGTATGCTGGTGGTTATGTTCTAACACTACACAGCTCATACATAGCAAGTGAGAGTGTGCCTTCCATAAACTTTGCTGGGTGGCCTTGCCTTTCTTTCAGTGGCTTTGGCTGTTCTATCTTTAATTTTCCATGCTGGGTAGGCTCATCATCCTTGCATGTGTTAGATTTCACCCTGAATCTCAACACTGGAAAGTTGACAATCTTTAATTAGGTAGCCAAACCCAATGAAAACAGCAGGAGTTTGTAGAACATAACCTCCTCCATTTCTGCATTCAAAGGAGATATTTTGCTACAACCTGATGCGAATGCCATCTTAGAAACAAGCTGGGTAATTAAAAGCTAACATGGCAGTGCAGATCAAACAGCACAGATGAGGAAGATTTTATTAGGCCACCAGACGCTCTCCTATGATGAACCTACATCCCTTCCAGTTTGAAGACTGAAGTGAAGAAGTTACACAACTATGTTATGGGGAAAAACCACAACTTGCAGACAGCTTAATCACAACCATTGAGCACTTCATAAAAGAGAGCTCTGTTCTAAGTTATGGCCTGTAACAGCCTGTAACTCTTTGGATAAGCAAATTTTCTCTCTGTTTACGTTTCTCTATGAGTAAAATTAATATAAAATACTTCCCCTGTTTTCAAAGGAGGTTTGAAATCTATGACTTAAAAGACTTCCTCATCAAATATTTAATAGCTGTGCTGCTGTCATTTTCAAATTGTTACACATTTGGTCCTTGGCAGGCTGTGAGGTATGTTCCAGCCAGCTCTCCACATACATTTTACACAATCTGTCACCAGTATGACACAGAAGGAAACAATCCGTGTTTTCAGTGGCAACCGGAAATTGGGGGAGGATATATGCTTTTTTCTTTTTTCCCTGGCTGAGTCTTGCCCCCTCATTGTTGTTGCTTTTCTCCTTTGCCTCCTGTTCTTTCTCCTCAATGGGGCTGTGTCAAAAACAAAGCTTAAGTTAACTGATGGCGGGCAGTCATTCCTCAAAGTTATCTTCCTGTCCCCCCATTCACTCCAATCCAAAAAAAAAAAACAATAAAAACATTCCTTATTTTGCATTGGTTTGGTAATATAACCTCCACTGTCACAGTTATGTCCACTCTCTGGTACAGAGAGATCTCAAACATTAACACAGTGTATATTGACCTCCACAGATGGAAAGGCATTACGCTTGTCCCTCTTTGATCAGTACTGTCATGTTATACACCTCTTTTATCAGAGCAGTTATTTATTAACCCATTTCTTATGGGATT